GTTTCATCTCAATCAGCGTTACCTGTCTTTAGACATGGAGAATCTACAGTTGAATTTTAGAAGAATTAATAAAACACTGTATATGATGTCCCTTGTATAGTCACTGAGTTTACCTGAAGTGTCAATGGCCACTGTCAATAAGTATGCGTCTCCTTTCTAACTCTGGGAAACAGTTCTTTGGTGGTGTCTGAGTTTTTCCCCTGGCACTCTCACATGTGTTCTGAAGCTCAGAAGTGACTGGGCTAAGAAGGAGCATGGGACAAGAAGCTGGGGTTCCTGGTTATTCCCAACTATGCTGGGGTCTGAGTCATGCAGCTTTACTAAGGACGCTTGGCTTTTCCAATCCCAGCTTCTTCACGGTCACCATATTCCTGGAAGCAACCAAAAGGTGGTAGCTATATGCTATTTATCTTTATATCACTAATTTCCAATTTTAAAATGTTGCCAGAGTAAGAATCCCTTAGAGGAGGCAAAAAAAAAAAAATCTTCCTATTCATTGCTGTACCACTGCTGCAGCTGACAAAAATATACACACTATTATTATACCATGGTATAGAGCAGTGGTTCTCAACTTCCCTATGCTGCAACCTTTTAATACAGCTTCTTATGTTGTGGTAACCCCCTAACCATAAAATTATTTTGTTGCTATTTCGTAACTATAATAATAATACTTTTGTGCTGTTATGAGTCATAATGTAAATATCTGATATCCAGGATGGTCTTAGGCAACCCCTGTGACAGGGTTGTCTGACCCCCAAAGGGGGTTGAGAATGGCCGTTATTGAGGATCATCAACTGCAGAGAAATCCTGCTGGGAACATGGTTGAAGATTTTTGCCCTACTTGTTGCAGGGTTCCTGAAGGGTCCACATGAAAACATCTATGTGCTTGACTCTTGTAGATCAAACATGCTTACAATGCTCCTGTGACTGTATTTCCCGCAGAGCATTCTGGGTACTTTGTTTTTGACCCTTAACTGCATTTGTATATTAGCTGGACAGGTGAAATCATTCCTTAGGCCTTCCTTTGAGAGCAACCTGTTCAAAAGCCTGCTTATTTAAAGTCGCATTAATATGCTTTAAATCCAAAATGTTTTTCTCCATTATAAATAGTTGACTGATTTTTTTAAAAGACCTAATAGAAAGCCTAGGGTTATAGAATATGGCTGATTTGTTGATTGGTTATTTGTAAGCACTAAGGTTTCCTTTAAAGGCGCTGTGAATTTGAACCTGTTACAATATCACAAAAGAGCGTTGGCATGATCTGTGGGGAATCACCACAGGCATGGGCAGTGTCTCCTGGCATCACGACACTTGAACTCCAGGGAGAGATTTGGGTGCAGTGTCTGGCCTGTGTGTTCCAGCTGCCTTCCTGAAGCTACCTATAGCTTGCTGTGTTCTGACCCTAATCCCCACCCCACCCCTCCACCTTCGCACTGTTTCCAATGCTCACTGGAGCGTCATTAAAAGTTGGGGCAGATCCTGGGAGACCAGAAAGCTATCTGTCTGCATTTTACATTTAATTCTACCTCAGTTTCTAAGGATTGAGCGGGGTAGCTGTTCTCACTCAACTTTCTTTAGCCTTTAAAAACCATGCAGTTGGAAGTTCCTATAAAGGAGACACCTGCTATTTGTAGTTTAAGCCCATTTTGTTTACTGACCTGAGAAAAAGACCCAGAGAGCTTGCCATGTCATCCTGACATTGTTATGCCTGTTGGCTCTATTATGACGAATCTCTCGGTATTGTACAGACTCAGATTCAACATGAGCCAAATTATATCTCCAAATATAACACAAAGGACAGAAATGGTTGTACCAAGTGTCAAAGTAGCAGGTAGAAAGACTCACCAACTCCCTGCAAGACGGTAAGTACATATCTTAGAATAAACTCTGTGCACTCTAGGGTAGCATGAAGGACCATGGAGCAGTCTTCATGGGCCTCCATGTTCCTCAGCAGATACTTCAAATCCTCAACTCATGCTTAATGCTATTCAGTGCATCCCAGAATGCTACTCTCCCAGGAGCTTCCTCACTCGATGCCTGGTTCCTGCTTTCCTTCATAATTTGCTTTCTTTAAACAAGTTTCTATGGCTAAGTTGATACTAAGAGGCATTGCTGGGGAATTTCAGTCTCATGGGATTTGACAATCAACTGTGGAGTCCCGGTCACTGACTCAGTTTTGGCTGACTCTTTAGAGATAATATGGTCTGACAGAAAGCATTTCCACCAGCTAAGGATCACAAGTCACAGTTCCTCTTCCTGATCTTTCTCAGCTCGTTCTACCCAGGCCAGTTACAAAGGCCTTGTTTTTTGTGTGTTCTGTTTTTCCCAAACATGATTTTAAATGAATGAGAGCTATTGACTAGAATTTGTAATAATGACAAAAACCAGTTCAAAGACTTAAAAATAGGTGGTTATTAGGTTATTTAGATCAGATTCTCTAGTTGGATAAAGCTTCTAATTTTCTCACTTGGAAATTCTATAAAACATAAAGGAATTCTTATTTAGAAACTAGCTTCAGGTAAAGGAGACAAAGGAACATACACCTAACAAGTACAACTCAGTTACTTTAAAGATGCTGTCCCCATTGATGTTGGTGTTACATTAACTATCATAGACATAACATATTTCACTTACATTGATACTCACACAGACCATGAGCAATCTAACCAGTGTATTTTCAAATATATACATTTTGAGTAAGGTGTCACGGTAAATGAGGTGCTTCCAAATACAACCATTTTTCTCATTCCTGGTACAGATCTGCAGAGTCTCACAGTGATAGATTTAAATGCTGAGAGACTACAGGTATTATGGCAGGGGGTACACAATGCTGTAATAGAGGAAGCTGAGCTTGCACTGCAGGATTAAAGACCACCTCACTCATGCCTTGGAGATGCCATCATTTAGATTTCTGTTTTCATCTCTCCACTCGCATCCGCCAGGGTTTTTCCTGAACCTTAGCCTTCTTTCTTTGTTAACATCACTGGTATCCTTGACCCTAGAGGGTTCCAACAGCTCACTAGGCAAACACAGCTGCCTAGGAGATCTCTTTGTTTCTTGAACATCAGTCCTCCATGAATGCTAACATTCAAATGTTGGAAGACCTTGACTTGCTGTAATTTATTTCAACTGTCTTCGCTGGGCATCCTATAGGCACCAGAGGCTGTGATTATAACCTAGCCTCTTCCATTTGCATTTTCTATGTCCTTGGTGCTCTGTCCTTGATTCAGTCTCCTCTGGTCTTTGGCTATTTCTATTTCACTTTCTGCTCATTACTTTTACTACTGTCCTTCGAGCAAACACAATTCCCAGGTGGGTTTGGGACTTCCCTGAAACACTGAGCACATTTGGCTGTGATGTTGGAGTATTTTTAGAGCCCACTGACTATCTGATTAGCTCAAGCCACAAAATAAACTGAAGGAAGGGGGTAACACTAACCTCCATTGTTTTCTTCTTACTTGTATGTCCTGCTGGAGGTAAAGACCACAATTCAGGTAATAAAACCCTCGACACAGTATTGTTTCATATGGCAACAATGTTCTGTGCAAAATGAATGCTGGCAGGAAGTCAGAGGATGGTGGATTTTGTTCTTCCAAACACAGGGCAACTGCTGTGATTCCAAACACACTACAAGCTGTAATGCCAATTCTGATATTGCACACACAGAAATAGTGTTTGCTACCTATACTAATAACTGCTTTAGACACAGGTTAAATATTACATTTTATGTTTGTCTAAACAGGGGTTTTGTTCTCCACAAGGTTAGAAGTGCTGTGGAACAATCCAGTACTTATCATGTTTCTCTGATAAGGTAATTTGGTGACCCTAGCATAGAAAGCACAAAGAATCATTATTAACACTAAATCTGGTAGCTTAATTATAGGCTTCTATGCTTTTGAAGCCCGAATCTACAGGACTTAAGCAATAATGTTTCCTTTGTACATAGTTTTCTTAGTTGAAGAGGCTTTCTGTACTCTCCCCTTACAGTAATGGATTTGCCCATCTCCAGTGGCCCTGGGCAGTCATGGAGAAGCATTCTTCAGCTTCCTCCTCAAGTGCTGCAGGGATTTTGACAATCAGGAGAGAATCTGAAGTGTGTATTTCCCACAACATAGAAGTCCCTAACGCCAGAGTCAAACATAAAGAAAGGGACACGTCCTCTTAATGACCTTTAACAGACACTGTTCCTCGGCTAGCCACTAAAGCAGGATGACAAATCCATTATGTGTCCCAAGGGCAGCTGTGAGAAGGGAGCCTATCAACATCCAATTTCACAGTATCCACACTGAAAGAGACAGAGAATTTTGTTTCCCAGTGAAGGAACTCACTCAGAAATTACAGGTTCTGTATTAAAGAATTTCCTTATGAGGCTCTTCCATCAACAGCACATTTGTAATTTTATATTAAGGCTTTCTGTTAGGCAGTTCATGACTTTGTAAATAATTCCTTTAAATTATTTGGGTTTATTTGTAATTCAGAGAAGAGCTTTGTGAAGGAGCTAGAAGGTCAGAACCTGTTACTTCTAAGCACAGTTTCATACCCATGGATGTCATTCTCTCAGAAAACATCACCCCTGACTCTTCACTGAGATTAGAAGATATGAAAAATATATTATTAACAAGTATAAGAATCTCTTATCTTAAAAACCTGTATAACACAAACCAGACATAAAAGCAATAGAAAAGAATACCATTGTTTTATATCCATTACTTGATCCTTGCCTGAACATGTAACCAACAGTCTTTGCTGATTTTTATACATATATACTTATATACACACATATTTAAATATAAATATATATATATTGTACAACATGGAATGGCAACATATCAAATGTTTACATTCTCTGCTAACACATATTGCTTCCTGTGAGGGAAACATATCATATTACAAAAATAAATCATGGAGATTAACATGCAACATCCAAGGAGGAGGGAAACAGGGTTGGGGTGGGGGGGGAAAGGACACAACAATGCCAAAGAACAAAAAGTGCCATTGACCTGATTTGTCAGAGCTGTCGCCTGTGCCTGGCCTGACGGAGCAGCTGGGATTAGCCTTTGCGCTGTCCTTGGAAGGAACCATTTTGGGTTTATTTTTCGTTGCCTCTAGAGCTTTGACCTTCTTGGCATGTTTACTTCCTTTGTAGTGGGCCTCGGCCTGGCTCTACAAAGGAGAACAAATCAGGCTCATTGTTTTGCTACTTACAAACACCAGGATGGATGAGCATGCAGGAAAAAATACAATCAGTCATAGGCACCACAGACATCACAGGTCAGTGCTTGGCTACATCCCCAGCATTTATCTACGAGGTTTCAACATATCAAACCTTGCTAGATAATGGAAGAACCGTGTCGTTGAAAACCTAGAAGTCACATGAGTGGACCACAGGATCAGGACAAAAGCAGGAGGGAGGTGAGACCATCAGCGATGCCCTCTCACCTTGGCTCATGCCAGGGAAGACTGCTTTCTCACCATCTGGCTGGCAGCATCTGTGCTGGGTGTTCTATTCACCCTTGTAGACATGGACTTCCACAATCACCACTGCTCATTAGATAAAGCCTGTCTGCTCTGCACCTAGTCCCCTGTGGTCTCTGAGATCAACTAGGGTGACAAAGCAACATGTCATGTCGATAGATGCTGTTGAATGCAGATGGCACTACATTTTGGAGACATCTACATGCACTTAGTATGCCACCTTGGATGATCCCAGTTCCAATTATAGCTCATGCCACAAGGGAGGTAAGGACAGTCCTTGATCTCAGATGTGGGTCTCACATCAAAGCAGTTAGCATTCCGTTCTCATACATAAAGGGTGTGTAGCATTGTGACTTCGATACCAGATCAAAGGAAGTAGAAAATGAGACAAGAGACAACACCGAATTACAATAAACCTAGAAGACATTTAGTTAATTTACTGACATTTGGGAAGTTACCTTCCATCCAAACAAGATCTTTTTGACATCGTGATTAACCATACATGTAGAGAAAAATAACTGTGCAAATTCATTTGAATTTTACTCTGAACAGACTGAAAAATAAAATCATGCATGTAGCAAAACCAAAACAAGACATAGTGGGTACACTGCTTTAGTTTTAAGGTGACACACGTGGGAAATTTTATGCAAACAAGATGAAGTTTTATTAGAGGGTTTTTAACCTAATTATTTTTCTTATATCAGTTTCCATTTGAATCTGAGTGTGTCTAAAGATAGTCACGGTTAGTGAAGCTTCATAGGTCCATGAGGTAAGGTGTGATGCAGAGCCACTCATGAGGAAATGGGCAGATGGAGTGAAGCATGTTATGCTGCAAGCCAAGCAAAAGCAAAAGGGACCCGAGTCATCTTGAGGAAATATCCTAAAGTTGGCAGCCTTTGGTTGAAGATCTGAAGGAGGAGTTACACATGAATTGGTAAAGGGAAGTGTGCTTTGGGTGGGAGAATTTGGCCTAGGAAAAGCATTAGTGCTGGAATGGCAGAGGCATAAGTATGGCTGGAGAGGGGGTTACACAGACCACTTGATAGACTATCTACAATGGGAAACCAACGGGAGCCAAGTGTGGGAGCAGCTTACCATAGGAACGAAATTGTCCAGCAACTGCATGATGCTATAGGTTTCAAGTGGGGGGAATTTCTACCTCAGCTGTTTATTTATTTATTGACTGTGTAAGAGAAAAGGACAACGAACAAGGAAGCATCGGCAATATGAGATAATTCAGAATAAAATCATGAGTGAGGAATATCACAAAAATATTCATATTAGAGAGTAGCTCAAGTTCCTGGGAATATTAGTCATTATCAGTCCTGCAGTCCTTTGCTTAAGTGGATCTCATCAGTTTACTGGTCATCACTCAATATAGAGTGTTCTTCCAAAATACCACGTTTGCTTAAGCCATCTCAGGCTGTGGTGTGTGTGTAGTGTGTATGTTTGGTATGTGTGTGTGTTGGGAGGATATGTATGTGTGTATATGTGTGTGAGGGATGTGTATGTGGTGTGTGTGTATGTGTGTGTGTGTATTTGTGTTGGAATGTTTTCCTGACTTCCCAACTTCTTTTATTCTAGCTCAGAGCACACATAACTTCACAATCTTCAGCAATTCAACTCACTCGTTTCCACGGAACTGGTGACAATGAACATCACTTCAGTGCCCATCACTGTGAACCACCATGAGAGAAAGGCCTAGTTTTGCTGAATGCATAAGTGATGAGATGAAGGTAGGTGTTCTTGCTGAACTATAGCAGTCTGACTGTGAGGAGAAGATGCAATGAGCCAAATGCCCTACCTGTACATTTGCGTTCCCACGGTGCATTTGTACTTCTGTTGAAGTGGGCGCTCAGTGCTTTCAGAGCTCTCTGACTTAGTTGTTTCTTCATGTGACTAGGAGACGGATGTCAAAACATGCACTGCCTTGATACAACTGTAATCTGGGGATTGGTTTACTTTACATTACAGCTAACAGTACATTAGTGTCTTCCCTTGTGTGCAGCCTTTGCCACACAGGGTCTGTGTTGAGTGTTGTTCTATCTTCCTCTGTGTCTTTCTTGAAACTATCATCTTAGCTCTTCATTGACTTACCATTGCTCTTACTTAGGATGCTAACGGACTTCAGATATTCTTTGTCAAAGTTAAAGGAAAACCCAAGTTAAAAGGAAAAGCATTACGAGGCCTTCATTCATTAGCCAGGGAAGGTGACATCAAGTGTAGTTGTGTATTTCTAGTCATCTTCAAGCTGCTAACTTGTCGAAGCTCACACTTATCTTCTGAGGGAGTCTCAGCTGGGGGATTGCCTTGATCAGATGGGCCTGTAGACATATCTATGGAGCATTTTCTTTATTGATAATTGATTTAGCAGGCCCAGTGCACTGTGGGCAGAACCACCCTAGGCAGGAGTCCTAGGCTGTATAAGAAAGATAATCTGAATAGAAGAGAAGGTAGGGAGTAAAGCAGCAAGCAGAGTTTCTTATTGGTTTCTTCTCTAGTCTCTGCTCCAACTTTCCTAATCTTATATTATGATCTGAAAATGTAATCTGAAATAAGCCCTTTCTTCCTCTAAGTTGCTCTTGGTTACAGACTTTATCACAGCAATGGAAATCATACTAGAACAATAATAATAAACTAGAAAAATTAAATGCAGATTTAAAGATGGATAGTGGAATTAACAGTGATGACTGATGTTCCTGAGCACTGTTCCAGGCTAGCATGAACTAACTCACTTGATCCTCATGGTATGCAGTGATAGGAGGCACTGCCAGCTAGTGTCTTGCAAATAGGAAACTACATATTCTAAAGGTGGAGAACTCATCAACAGTCAAATAAGGCATATAGGAAGGCATTTAGTAGCTATTTATTAGCTTAGATGCATATCTCTACTTAATTATATACCCACACATATACTCATATTTCTGCCCTAAGTTTACATTGTAATTGTTAGAACTGGAAAGCTACAAAGGCACCACACTACTTTAAATAGCACAGGAAGGGATTAGACCTTAATGCCACTGAAATTTCTACAAATAGGAAATAGCTACATAATTTTGGACATTAGGTCCAATCCTTTTAATGAATAGCTAAGAAATCCCCAAAATTTCACTTTTTAGTTATATACATCTAGAAGGTACTAGGATACCCCCAACATTTTTTTTTTTTAATTGTAAGAGAGGCTCATGTAGTTAAGGTTAGTCTTTAACTCACTATGCAGCAGAGGCTGGCCTTGAACTCCTGACCTTTCTGCCTCTACTCCAAGTGCTAGGATTACAGGCACATGGCACCATGCAAAGTTCCAAGGACACTTTTCAAGGCCTCCTCTATTCAAGTGCACTGAGTAGTTAAGGGTTATTTAGTGCCCTCTGGCTCAAGAACAGGATTCTCTAAATATAACTTTCAAGTACAAGATGAACAGAGTGATTTCCTCATTACTATTTCCTGGCATCAGGGCAGAAAGTTAACAGCATCAGTTAGCCCTCCAGATAAAGATCCAGCTAAGTGATACCTTACTGCATGTCAAGATAGAAAGGGTGACCCATTTTCCCTCTGAGTTTGGGGTGTATAGAAGCAGACAGTGAGGAGCCTTGGCTCCTTTGGACTGGCATTTGGGGTAAGTGACGTAGCCCATTGTGGAGCAGAGAGAGCGGTAGGCAGCCCTCCCTCTTAACTTGGCACACCTCTACTTTCCCATGATGTTCTTGGTGAGTGGCACTTTGCTATCTTCAGTGCTTTATCTGATGCAGTGTCAACAGCTTCTCCTTCCTGGGCAAATCTTCAAGTGAAAGTGAGATGCTGTTAAATAGCAACAGCATTGACCCCACTTCATTAGCAAGGAAGCACCTTAATTGAGGAGCGAAAGAGGCAAGAACAAGAGCCAGAAAATTCATGGTACCAGGCGACAGCCACAACCAAACTCTGTCAACAATGGACTTACTTGGCCAGGCTGATTTTCCTTCAAGCCCAGTGACTGAGCAGCAGGAAATGGCTGTCTACTGCAAATGGCTTCAAGAGAGATACTGTAATCCTCCTGGCACTGACCAATGCTTGGGGATGTGGCTTAGCAGTAAGGCACATGCCTTGTTGCACAGGGCCCAGGGTTTGAGCCGGAGCAGTCAAAAAGGAGAAGAAAGAAGAAAGTCCCTATGCAGAACTGGCAGAAACAGGAAGGGTTACTGGAATGCCCACTCTGACCTCCACCTAGGAACTGGTGGGACTCTAGCCTCATATTTTAGGGACACTTCTATAGTTCCCAGAACTCCCATTATCCAACTGGCAAAGTAGCTTTCACAGGGAACGACATACAGGGATACATTTTTTTCTCATTAATTCCCTTTGGTGCCAAGTCCCTTTGATTTCCCAAATCCTCAACATTTCTCAGAACCTCACTGGCCCAAGTAAAAAAGATAATGAATTAGACAAGGTTTTGACTTAAAACTAAAAATGTAATGAAGTATTCCCAGTGGGACATTTTACAATCTATTGTGTGCTCACCTCTGGTGTCTCCTGAGTTCTAATTCTGCCTCAGAGAGGAAGATCTGCAATCTCCAGTCATGATGTAAAATTGTGTTCAGTGTATATGGAAAGGCAGACTCAACAGAGTGCTAGGCAAGTGCCCAATCCTCTACTTACAAAACTGATCTTTTTGTGTTTAAAGAAATGAGTAAAACTATTTCCTTGATTAA